AAGAAGATGGAAATGTTAACTCTACCAATTTTATCATTATACACTGTGTATATGTATCAAATTATCATGTTACCTGATAGATTTTACAATTCAAACAAGAAAGAAGAAATAAATCACCAAAATTCTTTAAAAATATTTTTATTGGTGAATTTTATTTACACATGAGAGTGGAGTTCATTCTGTTTTATTAACACCAGTACCTAGCATGATTTGGCAAATTAAAAAAAAAAACAACAAAAACCTCAGTTCAAGCTGAGTATCTAAAGTCTATGACTTCTTTTCTTTTAGTATTTCCTGACTCAGAATATGGATAAAAACGCTGCTTATTTTATGGGGCTATCAGATCCAGAGGGTCAAGGACACTGGCAATGGATTGATCAGACCCCATACAACCAAAGTGCCACGTGAGTACAGAATTAGATAAAGGAATCCTGGGTCCTGGGTCATGCAGGAAGTTTAGAGTGTTCCAGCATCAGTTCTGAAATTTAAAAAGTTCACTCTTGTCCTGTTGCACACACAGTTAATCAATTTTATTACCTCATTAAATTATCACAGAACCCTAGGAGGCACACATTATTTTTCCTATTATAGAACTGAGGAAATTGAGTTTGGAGAGTATAGATAGTTCAGCTAAGGTCACTCAACAATATTCTTTAGAACCAGGTGGATTCTACTTTGCTTTTAAAAACTCTATTGATTCTCTGTAATAAAAATTCATGTTTTTAAAGATCATTATGGATTATCATGATTTAATATTTCTCATAAAGCAAAAATTCTTTCTTTGATACGATTACAATATCTCATATTTATGTAATCTTTAAAGACATTTAAATACATTAGTATACTTCCACCTTTGATCCTTATATCTTCTTTGTGAAATATATAGTGCTGTTACTATGGTCCAGTTTTTAGATGGGCAAACTGAGAATCTAAAAAATTAAGTTATTTGACCTAGAAAATAGGAATAAGTAGAAGATCTAGAGATTTTACGAGTTCTTCGGATTTCAAAATCATCCCATTAAAATGTGGAAAAAAGGATATATTGACACATGGGACCATGGTGACTTCTCTTCATCATATAAGAAAGGCCCATGGATTGACAGTCTCCTGGCAACAGGTCCTATGTTTAGAGTAGAGCCCATGGCCCAGTGTTTAGTGCAATAAGGTATGAGAAAATGTGAGTGATGAGGGCACCATTTTCAAAATAAATGCCAGAGGTGTGGGTGGAGGAGAAACTGCATGAGAATTGGGAAGGGTTGGTGTGGGCATATCTGACCCTGAATTCCACAAAATTCCACCACAGCTTCTGACCCCATAACTAACTTTATCCCCTTTAAAAGCAGTCTTGGAAGAATCACTTCATCCTTTTTCTCTGTTTCAGATTCTGGCATCTAGGTGAGCCAAGTCATAGTGAAGAGCATTGTGTTATAGTAAATCATCGTCTTCCATCATTGCAATGGGGCTGGAGTGATATACTTTGTAAAGATCGTCAATGATCAGTTTGTGAAATGATGAAGATCTACATATGAATCAACACTTTTAATGGACATGTGTTTGGATTAGCATTCACTATTCTAGAGCTAGCTCATAAGTTCTTCTTTATGAAAGACATTCCATAGACTTTTAGGTATGTGGTCAACTATTCCACTTTTGAGGAAATGTTAGTGTTGCATATGGAATTCATCAGTTTGCTTCCTACAGAGCTCCTAATACAATAATTGTGGGGGACTTTTACTTAATGTACAATGAATTTACTCCATATTATTTCTGTACCATAATGATGGTACAGAATTTTCAAAAGATACATTTTACTCAAAATGCCTTTGACTGTCTCAATAAAGAGAGTAATAGAAAAGGAGTGAAATATCTTATCCTGTGTGTAGCCAATGCTGGAACTCTTCTCTTCACTCTACCTTGTGTTGTATGAGTGTGTTTCTGTGTCTTTTATTTATTTTTCTCTAGAGCATCTTTACATCAATGTGTGTGAACAGGTTTTATGTGAGGTTTGTGTTTAAAGAGTGATATAGAATCAGAAACCATCCTACTAAGTGCTAATTACTGAAAAGGATTGTAAGAAGTAATACAGCAGTTATGGTTTTAAGCCACTAAGATTTTGGGTAGAATGTTCAGTACTGGGGAGAATACTTTTACTTTCAAGCATCTATCAGTTTGTAGAAATGATAATGTTGAAGCTGGCTGAATTTTCTTAAGGCGGAGATTTGCTACAACTGACAACCCTGTAGATCCCTTTGGATGTAAATTTTATTCAGATGATTTTAATAATGAAACATGGATTATGTTAAAGATTAGATATGAGGTATCTCCCAAAAGTTTATGTGTGTGACAATGAAAGAAAGTTTGGAGTTGACATGATGGGATATGAGAGCCTTCACCCAATCAGTGCATTAATACCCTGATAGGGACTAAATAAATTTTAAGTGTAGGCATGTAGGGTGTGGCTGAAAGAGGTGAGTCACTGAGAGTGTACCTTTGAGGTGGGTATTTGGTTATGGTGGGAGGATTCTGTTTTTTTTTCTCCCTCTCTGCTTCCTGGTGGGCATGTCCTGAGCCACTGTTCTCCTCTACACCTTTCTGCTCTGATGGTCTATTTCACTTCAGGCCCAGAGCAATGGGAGCTGGCCATCTATGGACTGAGACCTTTGAAAGCATGAGCCCCAGATGAAAATTTTCTCTTCTAAAATACTTTTTTCATGTATTTTGGTCACAGTTGCAAAAAAGGTGACTAAAACAGATTAGAAGTCCTTTCTTTTCCTACATGGAAATCATCAGTAGTGCACACTTGTTGGGAATGAGTTCAATGATTCAAGGACAGAAGAAATAATGAGGCACAGTTCAGCTGTATTAAAGCAATTGTTCAGTGTAAACTTTTGATGAAATATTGTGTAATAAAATTTTGGATGAAATGCTTTGGAGTAGTTAAAAATGTTGTAAATGGAATTTTTAAAATGAGGAACCAGCTTTGAGGATTGTGGTTCATGTTTGCTGTCTATTCATCCCTTCTCTCCCTCAAAAATAATATCTCAATATTATTTAAAGTCACACTTTCCTTCTTGAAGCTCATGTGACTTGGGATGCTGTGAGTCAATATGGACTAATCCAAGTCAACAACACAATCATACTAGTGATTGGTTTAGGAATAGCATGAATTGTTAGTCCTGCTAAGAAATTGCTTCTTCCTCTTCTCAGAGGAATCAGGGAGTGAATCTCCCTCTCTTAATGAACATGAAAGGTCCTGTTCACAACTGACAGTCATACTGTTACCATGAGGGGAAGTAGTCTTCAAATGATAGAAACACCATGGATGGCAGAGTCAAGCCATGGGAAGAATTTGGTTATTTAAGTTCTTTGTGGGTCACTAAATGGACTATTTTCACAGCATAGCCTACTATGAGGTTTTATTGTGAAGGCTAATAAATTTCTAATTATTTGTCAGATTGAATCCTGATGGATTAAGAAAATACATTACTTTTAGTGACTAGATTTTATTGAGGTATAGTTTTCATAAGTACAAGGCACACACTTTCTGAGTATAGTTCCATGATTTTGTCAAGTGTATGCAAACCTGTAACCACCATGATTATCTACAATAAAGATTTCTAGCATTTCCCAATGCTCCCTGTCCTAACAGTATGAATGCAATGTTCTGATTACTGCTTTTCAAATTCCATATAAAGCAGATAACAAAGTTTGTTTTTTCTTTTTACTTTCCTTATCTCAATATGTTTGTAGGATTCTCCTAAGTTTTTTGTATTTTTTCATTGGTAGATTCAATTTTTTTATGGAGTTGTGTTTCATTGTAACATGTTCTCTAGCATGATCTATTTATCTGAATTGCTGTTGGGTAAGCTTTGAATTATTTTTAATATCTTATCTATTATGAATAAAGCTTCTTCTTTTACATGGCTTTCTGTGTAACTCTGCATTTTTTTTCTTAGAAATGTGCTCAGGAATGGAATGTATTCACACCACAGTATTATAAAGAATAGTATTAGTGCCCTAAAATTTCTCTGTTTCAGTTACTATCCTTTTCTTCCTGACAACTCCTTGTATTTACTGTTATGCTTTTGTCTTTTACAGATTGTCATAATTTGGATTCTACACTGATTTTTTTCTGAAGTCCTCTTACTGTTAGTAATGTGCATTTAAGATTCCTCCATTTTATTTTATGGCCTGTTGATATTTCTTTTTATTGCAGAAAATATTCTACCACAGTTTATTCATCCATTGAAGTACATGTTTGTGGGAGTCCATCCTCGCACGTGATTTGAGTTACCTCTCTGGCTGGGCGAGAGGCGCTTAGGCACAGCTGTGTCAGAGCTTTCCCCACCCTTCTCCAGGTCTGAGGGTTTGTGCGTGAAGAGGTGTGTTTGGCCACTACCCTGAAGACCCAATCGTCGCCCCTGACCTTGGGATGCTGCCCCCCTTAATCTTCATTGGATGGGATTTTCCCTAGAATTTTTTGTTCCCCAATAAAAGTCCACTCTCTGGCATGTTCTCTCTGTCTCCCTAGCCTCTTCAGTAAATCTTGCTACCACAATAGGTGGCTGGAGGCTGGAGCTAGGAGGAGTTTTCCTGGAGCTGGTTTAAAGGTAATTAGAGTCATGTCTCTAATTGAAAACTCCCTAGTGGTTTCTCACATCTGGAACCTTCTTTCATGAAGGCGGCGCGGGTCGCGGGCTAAACATGTTGATTTCAAAAATGTTTGACACTTATGAATGAAGTTTTATTTGGCCTCTTGTGGGGGGTTTTGTGTGGACATGTTTTCTGTTCATTTTTGTTAACACCTAGGAACACTCTTGTTGACTTGGGTGTTAAGACTATACTGAGAACTCTCTTCCAAAGTGGCTATCATTTTGCATTTGACCAGCCATGAATCAAAGTGTTCCTATTGTTACATTTCCTTGCCAGCATTTGGAATTGACAGGTTGTGAATCTTGTCCGTTAATATGTGTGCTGTGGTGTCTAATTTTTAAAATGTTTTCTCCCTATCAATTACAATGTAAACTCCTTGAGTGCAGTGACTTTGATTTGTTCACTGTTGAATCCTCAGACATAACAGTATCTGGCCCCAAGTATTCACTTAATAAGTACTGATTGAAATAGAAACTGAGTGTCTCTGCAGGAGTGGCAAAGAGTTGTCCAACACTGTCTGGGTAAATTTCATACAGGGTAAAATGTTTGAAAATTTATCAAGTTTGGAAATTTAAGCCAATCCTACATTCTAGCTTTTGTCAATAATAGACGCATGTCATATACATGTATCTATTTGGGTAGGGACAAGGGAAGAGAGGGGTATTATTTATTGGCTCCCTAAAGCCACAATCACAAGTTCCATAAAAGATGAAATAAGTAGAAATTTTCTGTTTTTTTTAATTTTGATTTTTTTTAAATAAATGATGGGAATGCATTACAATCCTTATTACATGTATGTGGTACAGTTTTTCCTATCTCTGGTTGTATGTTGACACCAATTCAGGTCTTCATACATGTACTTTGGATGATTATGTCTATCACATTCCACCATCAGAAATTTTCACTTTAAAAATTTAAATTCAATTTATGTTTAAATGATACATAAATCATTAAATTGTGCATATTATGGAGTACTATGTAATGTTTAAACATGTGTATGCATAGTGTAGTGTTTAAATCAAGTTAAACATATCTGACTCCTAAAACATTTATTAGTTCTTCATGTAATAGCAGACAAAATCCTTTTTTTAATTAAAAATATTTTTTTTTAGTTGTAGATGGACACAATACTTTTATCTTATTTACCGTTATGTGGTACTGAGGATTGAACCCTGTGCCTCACACATACTAGGCAAGAGATCTACCATTGAGCTAAAACCTCAGTCATTAAAAAAATTTTTTTCTAGCATATTTTTATTGATGCATTGTAATCAAGGGCACAGAGTAGTGTCTGCTTTCCAGATCTGAGCTCTGCTGCAGATGTTAGCTGAGGGGCAGCCTGACAAGTGAAGATGTTGCTGACTTCCCAGTAGAAACCTGAGAACACCATCTAGATGTATACAATCTCCCAAATTCATAAAGCTGTTTTTATAACAAATCCTCTAAAAATTGTTTTTCAGAAGTAGCATTACCCAATCTGTCTTAAAGTAGCATGCATTAGTGACAGATAGTGGGACTTCAGTTCATTGTAATATTAAAATCTCCATGCAGGGAAAAACTGAAGGCTCATTTCCATAACATGCAAAGTATAAAGTAGCATGTTGTCAGACTTCCTTGTGCAGGAAAGTCCCCACTCATGTTGTGATGATGTCTTCTCTCAATCAGGTCATGCATTCCCTGCCAAATAAACTGCAACTTGCTCTGGCAGGCAGCAGGGCTTTGGGAGCAATTCCCCATTTGCAAACAAATTTGGCTCCGGATCATCATTCTTGGTTTTATGTTCTGCCTGGATTCTTACCAAGAGGTGGATCCATTAAGTTGGGTCACACAGTCATTGTTCAAGGAAGTGGAAGAATTGTGATGCTGTGTGTAGAGAGGTGCTGTCACAGCCCTCCGTCTCTAAGCTCTGGGTTCTTGCTGCTTATGGGGAAGGTGCAGAATGCAAAAGCTGGGCATGTGGCAAGTACAGATCCTCAGCTTCACTGAAGTGCTTCAGGCTGGCCTTGGTGCAGCAACCTCGGGGATATGCATTCATTTCTCCTGTTCACACCTTCTGAACCCAGGCCCAGGGTTTACTGCTGCAGCTGCTGCAGGAACTTGGCCACCTGCAAGATGGTTTCTGTTGCAAGGATGTACCCTGCAGCAGTATTCCCATACCTCTTCCTAGAGACCAGCCTCTTTCTCCAAGAACAGGTCCAGAATGTGCTTTGGGGCTCTGGCTCTACATTGGGCTGCTGTTGCCCTCACAATCCTCTGCTTGAGAGAACCCTCTAAGGGAGGTCAGGTCAATGTCAGGACTGGTTATATTCAAAGGGCACAGGGCCTGGAACCTTCAAACTTAGCAACTGTGTCTGCAAGGTCTTCATTATGCTTTCAGGTATCTTGGTTTATCTGGGTTTCATAGCCTATTTTTTTTTTAAATCAGCTATTGAATACTTCCAGTTATTTTATCCTTTAATTCTAAATTTTCTTCAAAAATATCAATTTTAATGAACACTTTAATTAGGCCTATTAATAAGATTCACTGTGATATTTTCTTAAACCCATATGATCAGCTTGCACTGATCATATCCATCCCTCCTCTTCCACCCTCTCCACCCCAGCAGACTTTCCAGTTGCTAGTAATCACAATTTTATGTTCAAGCTAACCTTTTCACATACTTTTTTTTTTTTAATAGGAGAGAAAATAAGATACTTTCTTCCTTGTCTGGTGTATTTTGCTTGTCATGATTTCCTCTAGTTCCATTTTTTTTGGCTGCAAATGACAGAACATCTTTCTTTTTTTAATATTTATTTTTTAGTTATAGGTGTACACAATATCTTTATTTTATTTTTATGTGGTGCTGAGGATCGAACCCAGTGTTTCATGCATGCTAGGCAAGCGCTTTACCACTGAGCCACAACCCCAGCCCAGACATCTTTCTTTTTAATGAGTGAATAATATTCTATTGTGTATATACCATATTTTCTTCATTCCATCTGTTGGTTAATGGGTAACCTAGGCTGATTCCATGTCTTAGATATGCATGCAGTCAGTGTAACTGGCTCTTTTGTATGCTGACTTCCTTTCCTTTGGATATATACTTGGAGTAATGTTGATTGATCCTATGATAGTTCCATGTGTAGTTTTCTGAGGAATATCCATATTGTTTTTCACAGTGGCCATACCAATTTACATTTCAACCATCAGCATATAAGACTTCCCTTTCTCTATGGTCTCACCAGCATTTGTTAATTTTTGTTGCTTTAATAATAGTCATTCTAAATGGGGTGAGATTGTATCTCCTTTCAGTTTTGGTTTGCATTTCCTTGATGGCTAATAATATTGAGCATTTTAAAATAAATTTATTGGTCATTTGCATTTTTCTTTTGAAAAAGTGTGTACTTAGATCATGTACCCATTTTTATTTGGATGACTGTTTTTTTGTTGTTAAGTGTTCTTTTATTTTCTTCTATAGTTCAGATAACAAGCATCTGTGAGATGAATAGGTGGCAAAGATTTTCTCCCTTTGTGTAGGTCATCTCCTAACTCTGTTGTTTTTTCCTTTGCTGTGTAGAAGCTTTTTAGCTTGATATAATCCAACTGTCAGGGTTGCTTTTGTTTCCCATGCTTTTGGGAAATATCCAGCTTTTGGTCCTACCTGGAAAATCATTGCCTGTACCCATGTCTTGGAGAACAGCATTAGGGAAGGTTAATTGGGGAGGGGTAAGGAAGTCAAGAGCTCTTTAGCTTGCTTGTCCTAAACAGAGCTGAGCAGAATGTTTTCGCTTCCTTCACAGTCAGGTGACCTGATCATCAAGTTTATTTCTTCATCTCTAAGGGGAACTGGAAAAAATGGCAACATTTATAACCACTTCCTCCATCTCACCCTATGATTTATTTTATCTCAAGGTGACTGTGGGAGAAAGTTTCTGGGTTTCTATCCTGTTTCTCAAAGTCTGTTTCATCATGTGCTACAGCTATGACTATCCCATCATTACAAGTGCTCTGCTGAGTTCAAGTCCACTTTTTATGCAGGTCCAGTTATGGAACTCTGTTTTATTAAGTCATTGGCTATTGGTGAGGCACTTGGTTTCCAGTCCTTTTCCCTCCCTGGGTGGGATTGAATGTTTCACTGTTTACTCACATGACTGGTTCCTCTAGCAAGTACCTCCCATTCTGGAACTATCCTTAGGACCATCAAGAGTCACATAATTGGCATAAGGTCAGGCATGGCTGAAAGGGGCATGTTATGAATAAAAAAACTGTCTACTCTTATCTGTATTGTTCCA